TGGAATCGATCCTGAGATTGTACAGCACCGGATCCCTCCTGATCCCGAGGCCCGACCCATTAAGCAAAAACTCAGAAGAATCCGCCCAGACTGGGCCCTCAAGATTAAGGAGGAGGTCACCAAGCAAATTGACGCAGGGTTCCTGCTGGTTTTCGAATACCCGACTTGGTTGGCCAACATCGTTCCAGTACTGAAGAAGGATGGCAGGATCCGGGTGTGCGTGGATTTCAGGGATTTGAACAGAGCTAGTCCAAAGGACGACTTTCCCTTACCGCATATCGATGAGTTGGTGGACTTCACAGTGGGGCATGCTTTGCTTTCGTTCATGAATGGCTTCTCAGGCTACAATCAGATAGTGATGGCACCTGAAGATCGAGAGAAGACTGCTTTCACTACCCCGTGGGGGACATACTGCTACAGAGTAATGCCGTTTGGGTTAAAGAATGCTAGAGCTACATATCAACGGGTTGCGACTACAATATTGCATGATATGATCCACAAAGAGGTTGAGGTGTACGTGGATGACATGATTATCAAGTTCAAGTCCAAAGAAAGAGAGGGCCACTACACCGCCTTGCAAAAGTTCTTCCAAAGGATCAAAGAATTTCGGTTGCGGCTGAATCCTCAGAAGTGTACGTTTGGTGTTACAGCGGGAAAAATACTGGGATTTCTGATTACACGGAGAGGTATCGAAGTCGACCCTTCCAAAATCAAGGCCATCTTAGAAATGCCACCACCAGGGACTGAAAAGGAGGTGCGACGCTTTCTGGGTAAAGTGCAATTCATAAGACGGTTTATCTTAAAATTAACCTTGACTTGTGAAGCACTTTTTGGCCTCCTGAAGAAAGGAAAGAAATTCCAATGGGACGGCCGATGCCATGCTGCTTTTGAACAAATCAAGAAATACTTATAGAACCCACCCATGTTGTCACCGCCAGAGTCGAAGAGACCATTGCTTTTGTATCTTTCAGTAACTGAGACTACAATGGGTTGTATGCTCGCGCAAGAATCAGAGGACAAGGTGGAGAAGGCTGTCTACTATCTGAGCAAGAAGATGCTAGAGTATGAGACTCGCTACACACCGTTGGAAAAGGCTTGCTTAGCCTTGGTATGGGCTACCAGGAAGCTGCGGCACTACCTGTTAGCTCACTCTGTAATGTTGGTTTCAAGATTAGATCCCATCAAATATCTTTTCGAGAAACCGGCACTTACGGGTAGGCTAGCTTGTTGGTTGCTGTTGCACTCCGAATTCGATCTAAAATATGTGATGCGCAAGTCAATTAAGGGAAGAGCAGTAGCAAAATTCTTAGCCGATCGTCCAGTGGAAGGGGGTGAAGCAGTTGAGTACTTATTCCCAGATGAGGCCATTTTGTATATCGACGATGAAACTTGGACGATATACTTTGACGGAGCGTCAAACCACTACGGGTATGGGATAGGGGTGTTGCTAATAGCACCCAATAATTCCCGTATCCCTCTAGCCTTCAAACTCCGGTTCAAAGTCTTGAACAACGAAGTAGAATATGAGGCATGCATTGCCGGTCTAGAAGCAGCCCTGGAACTAGGGACAAAGCAGTTGGACGTCATCGGGGACTTGAACCTTGTTGTATCCCAAGCTAAGGGAGAATGGAAAATCAAAGAGAAAAAGATGATAATGTACCACCAGACCTTGGACCTATTGATTCCTCAGTTTGAGAAGCTAAACTTCACTTATCTACTAAGAGAAAATAACAGGTTCGCAGATTCACTAGCAACTCTATCTTCCATGATAGACATCCCGTTTGGAGTCCGGATGCGTCCAGTCATTATCGACCAGAAATTTGTGTCGGCTTACGAGTCAATTGCTGCTATAGATGAAGTTCAAGATAAGAACCCCTAGTATCACGATATTTGGAATTTCTTAGAGAATGAAGCATATCCACCAGGGGTAAATGCCAAGGATAAAAGGGCAATCAGAAGAATGGTTGTTCAGTTCATCATCTACGGAGGTAAATTGTATAAGAGAGGTCATCTGGGAATGCATAAGCTGTGCGTTGAAGCTGAAGAATCAAAATGCCTGATGGAGGCCATCCATGGAGGGGAATGTGGTGCACATATGAATGGGGTAATGCTAACGCGGAAGATCCTCAGACAAGGTTACTACTGGTCCACCATGGACGAGGATTGTATCGGTTTTGTTCGGCGATGCCACAAGTGTCAGATCCATGTAAACCGCATCCCACCATCGAAGCTGTACAATATGACTTCGCCATGGCCATTTTCAGTTTAGGGAATTGATGTGATCGGAGCTGTTACTCTAAAGGGGTCAAATGGGCATGAGTTCATCCTGGTTGCGATAGATTATTTTACAAAGTGGGTTAAGGCCCAATCTTATGCTGTGTTGAAAGCGTCGCACGTTGCAAAGTTTATCAGGAACAACATCATCTGTCGCTATGGAGTCCTGAACGAGATTATCTCAGATAATGGTTCCCATTTCAAAAAGGAAGTGATTGACTTGTTGGAGAAATACAATGTGGCTTTTCACAAGTCATCCACATACCGGCCTCAGACCAACGGAGCGGTTAAGGCTGCCAACAAGAATGTCAAGCGCATTTTACAGAAGATGGTGGAAACCTACCGGGATTGGCCAGATAAGCTGCCGTTTGCTCTGTAGGGCTACCGGACTTCGATTAGAACTTCTACTGGGGCGACCCTGTATTCATTAGTTTATGGGACGGAGACCGTTCTACCTATTGAAATTGAGGTTTCGTCTTTGTGAGTACTGGCTGAGTGTCAGATAGTCGAAGCAGATTGGCAGCAGAGCAGATTTAAGGAACTCATGCTCTTTGATGAAAGAAGACTGAAAGCACTGTACCATGTTCAAGGTTATCAGCGCAGAATTGCCCAAGCTTTCAATAAGAAAGTTAAGTCCCGAAATTTGAAAGAAGGAGATTTGGTGCTCAAGGACAACCGAGCTCCCATCCACGATCCAAGGGGCAAGTTCAAACCCAATTGGACCGGTCCCTACATCATTAAATCTATATGGTCAGGTGGAGCTGTGGTTCTGATGGACCTAGATGGCCTAGAGTTTTCACAGCCGATCAATATAGACAAGTTGAAGAAATATTACCCCTGAGAGGCTCACTAGGCCGAAAACCCGAAAGGGTGACCTAGGCAAAAGTTAGAGCATAGAAAATTTGAAATTATAAAAACTGAGCTCGCAAGGTTGAAAAACCGCAAAGGGCAGCCTTGGCAAAAGTTAGAGCGTAAAAGGAGAGTGAAAATACTCGAGTGAACCCAAGCCTGAACTACGTAAGGCTTGATTCCCATCTTTGGAATACGTAGGCAACTTCATCCTAAAGTTCAGCCATAAACTTTTCCCCGATCAACTTTGTCCATTTGATCATCTCAGTCATCTTTGTCTATTCAGCATTCAAAAGTTCGTTTGTGATCTCCGGTACAGTGCTATTCAGACTAGAGGCAACTTTCCAGTTGCTGGGATCTGAGGTTGTGCATCTCAGTGACAAATCTCAGGCGTGTCCAGTTCTAATCCATATCGAAAATGATTTTGAAAAGTTTTGATAAAAGTTGACCAAATTAATCTTTTTACAACTTAGACCATTTTTGGACCAAAGCGGAAAATTTTCAGTACCCACAACCTTCAATTTCATTGATTTCAATACAGAGTTCTCCTGCTCTTGCATACAGATTGAAGTTGCTTTTTATTACATTCATAAAGAAAACTTGAAAGTACTAATAAAGTAATAAATCTGGGGCATAAATAAGTCAGGTGTTCCTGCGCCCCCTCCCAGAGCTGGTCGAAGCCTCTGATGCCAAGTTGGGCCTAATCTGTGCCTCTTTATTGAGCCAATCTATGCACTCATCAGACAAAGTGCAACTGAAAGTGGGAGCGAGGGCCAAGAGCTCTCTAGTTCCCCACGCCGTGGCATATCAAGCAAGCTGTGCACCTCAGACCGGAAGTGCAGCTGGGTACTCTATCCCCTCTGGCAGGCAAATCTGGTCATGGCCGAACTGGCGCTGGAACCGGAATGGGAAGTAGAACACACAGTGAGTTAAACCAATCAACTGAATCCTAGTCTGCCGGGACATGCTGTAGCCCATTGCCGGTAGATTGAGCCAATGGCACCGCCAAGCAATGCGGTCTGCGGACAAACTGCACATCTAGTAGAACCACCAGCCCTCATCAAGGGCATTGACTAGGCATTGCCGGAAGAAGTAGCCACGAGCTAAGTATGCTGGGCAAGAGTCCACAACCTGCAACTTGTCCATCAACCACACCTGGAAAGGGATGAAAAATGAGAGAATAAAGAATAAAGAATAGAGAGATGTACGTTGAGAGAAAAGTGAGAAAAGGGTTTTGTGAGAAAAACTGAGTCTGAGGGCCGAGTGATGTGAGCAAATACATATGTGAGATTGGGTGGGAAACATTACCTGCAGCAGTAGCGGACTCCCCGCAAATCTGGTCGTCTCTCAGCGATAAAAGGCGTCCAAGCCCATCAACGTCCACTACAAGAATTAACACTTTTGGCAACAAAAAAATTGGTCGCTAAAAGTCTATTTTTGGTAGGCAAAAGTTATCCGCGACTAAATTTTTTGGTCGCTACTTTGGTCGCCAATTGAGGGTCGGCAAAAGTAATTCGCGACCAATATTTTGGTTGGTCGGAAAAAGTTGGATTTGCCGACTAAATTTTTGGTCGCTAAATATTTAATTACCGCGACTAATTCATTTTGTCACTAAAACACTTTGGTCGCGAAAAGTGATATTTTCCCGACCAAATTTCTTAGTCGCCAATTGTCACATTTCGCGACCAAAAAGACCAAGTCGGCAAAAGTGAGTTTCCATGGCCAAGAGTTGTTTTGGTCGGCAATAGATGTATTTTTTGCGACCAAAACTCTTGGTCGGCAATTGTCATTTTTTGCGAAAAAAAAATTATTTATTTGTCGCAACTAATAAATTGGTCGCCAAAGCAGGAAAACAATACACCTGTAATTCCTAATAATTCATTCAATCCATAATAAACCTATAATTTTAAAGCATCATTCAAATTAACTGAATCATTAACATTCGACACAATACATAATTCATTAACATTCGACACAGTACAACTCTAAATTGAAGCATTAACATTCATTAACAACACAACACAATACAACGTCAGGGCGAGCAAAACTACTTGATCCTCTGCGGGCTGTAGCTTCAGCTGAGTGAGAAGCATCATTACCTCCTGAAAGACAAGGCATGAACCCAAATGTTCAATTCACAGCACATCCTATTTGGTTTGCTCAATCAAACAATGTCACAATACTCTAATTTGAAAAGAAATAAAAATACTTCAGCTTTCTTCATGATCTAATAAGGGATTTGGGGGGCAAGGCTTTCATGGATTAATCAAATTATGTGAAAAACAATGTGCCATGAAATTCAAACACATCTTGCCCAGATTAAAATAAATAAATAAATAAAAATTACGAAGACAGGGGACAGAGCTACTGTAAATTGAAGCATTCCAAGTACTTGTCATCACCACCTATTGACAACAGTATATCTGTGCTGCTTTGTTTAGCTCAAAACTAGTTACCAGAAGGTCAATTTAGGTTTATATACAGGTATTACAGTGAGCTAGTTTAAATCTGTACTGCTCGGCTTCAGTGCTTATGTGTCTTAGACTTGCTAAAAATAAAAATTAAAAAAGAAGGAAAAAGTGTGTAACATACTCATTTAAATCTTGAGCTAGTTTTGATGATGATGTTGTACATGAACCAGTGTCTTGACTCTCAGCAATGCAAGACGCTGTAATTCCAATTACACAATACCAATGAATCAATACAAATTTCAATTACTAATACTAATGTCATAAAACATCCATCGTTTTCACTCCCTGATGCATCAGATATTCATCTGCTCCCTCTCTTCAACGATATGCTCCCTCATATCCCACATAAACCACACACACCCCAAAACCAGACCTTCAATATATGAACTTAATGGAAATAAGGATGCCTAATACCAAAGGACAAAAAGTTCTCAGTCACATTTGTGTGCATTTAAATTTTCAAGTAGTTCTAACTTATTTTTATTAGCTTGATTTGAAGATCACCTTAAATTCAACATACAAATGTAGTAGATGGGCTAAATTTCATATGGTTTATCAATAACGCAATGTACAAACTACTAAGCATTATAGTGAGAACAAGGTTGATACCATCTTTAGAGCTGTCAGGTAACTCCTTGCAAGATTGTTTCCCCAAACGACATTTCTGCAAAAATGAGACACAAAATACTATGCCTGTGAATACATTAAAGATTGTTATCTATAGAGTCAGCAAATGAGCAAAGCTAGTAACAAATCAACATAATGAAACTGAAAAAGAATGGTTCAAATTGGTATTCAAATGTTCAACCCCTTCCAGCAGGAAAGCTCAAGGAGTCTTTTCTTTTTCTCATATTTTCCTTTGTGCTTGTGAATAGGTAGGGTCATGGGAAAGAGGTTTGACATTTGAGCATGTCAAATAAACAAAACTAGAGAACAATATCAAATTATATGCATACAAAAAAATTGGAAACAACAAACCTGAAGATGTGATTTCAAGTGATAAAGGGCAAGACCTTTTACCCCCATTGTCTTAGGTGTTGCTTCTGCAATTCACATTAAAATAAAATTCAAAATTAGCTCACTACACCAATATAGAATTTCGGAAAGAATTAATCATGGGAGATGTAACCTTGCAATGTACAATAGTAAGCCATAGTAAAATGATCTGTTAAACAAGGCAGAAATATGTTGCAGGATCCAAAAACAAAATGTACTTGGGTTTGATCCCAACAATACAGGGGTTGGCTGGAAAGTGATAGCATCAGTTAAACCAAACGTTTAAAAGAAAATCTATTAACAGAAGGCTTTGAAGCGCAATAAATCACTTTCTTTAAAACAATATTTGCTCCCACTCAATCAGAGTTTACTAATAGGTTCACTTTTTATTAGAGTTTACCAAGTCCAGGTCTCATCCATCAGGCCAAACCCTTGGCGTTAACAAACACCTTTAATTAACAATTACGTGTTGATCAGACATGCCTATTATAATTTACATTTAAAATTTAAAACGAAAAGTCAAGTGTTTCACACACACTGAGTAATCTGTGTACCACCATGCCAGGTTAAGGATTAAGGCATGAGGGTCAAAATTAGCTTTAATTTATTATTAGAGTCTTGTGTTGACAACACCTGCTCCAGAACCATCAACTTTGAGAATGCACATCTCTTAATCTACTTATTCAAAGATCATGAAATTTGGTCGAAGTGTTCCTTATTAAGTCTATTTTCAAATGCCGCTAGTCGCAACAAGTCAGATTGTGTGTAAGTGGAGTTATGATCTAAACAATGCATGGAACTCATTTTTGACAAAAAGACAAAACAAATGGGTGAACTACAAAAATCATTATCTCTTAAACCACAAACCCAAAAAATTATGAAACTCTACAGGTTTAACCTACTATTGAGTCTAGTTTCTAATCCCACTGGTCTTGCTTGATTTGGTTTTGTAAATCTCATTTTCCAAACCTATTTGTAAAATCAATAAAATCTGTTCAGTTATGTAAAACACTATCATAAAACCCATTTTATAAGGCCAAATGAGGTATCAAATGTAAGGACTCGTGAATCCAATGAATTATACTGGTGTATGTAACCTGCAAGGGAAAAAAAAACTGGTAGAATAGATCACCAGCTTCAGTTTCAATACTGATTCATCCAGTATGACTTGGGTTAACTTAACAAATCTGACCAAATTTGTCAAAAGTAATTTATACCAAAATGTTAGATTAATAAATAAAACTAAAAAAATGAAGAAAGATAAGTGAAATTCATCAACAACACATACTTGAACTCAATAATGAAAATAATAATTAATAAATAAATAATGAAAACCAAACTTTGTAGCAATATTATCAAATTACAAGTATATAAATTGCACTTGATTTGAAACAATTATAAGTTATAACCAAATAGCCATTGTATTCTTGCAGTTCATTTAAGCCCAAATAAATGTCAGCCCCATCAAAAAGATATTCTGCATTTTCAAACACCCATTCCCCGCTAAACAAGTTGCTCCGAAGGATTGGGGGAGGAGGGTTTCAACTACCACATTTTCAAGAAAATGATATTTTACAGAAACCCAATTCCCAATCCCATAAAACCTCAAATTCTTTCTTTTCTTTTCTTTTTATTAAGTTCTTAACAAAAATCTCCAAAATTAATACATAAATCTTGATCGATTCCGAAAACATAATCAACACAAATCAAATGGTTAAATACTAAATCACTAATAGCTCAACTACAATAAGCCTAACAAAACAAAACCCGATTAAGATTTAAGGGCAATTAACATATATACATGAGCAGAGTATAAAAAAGAGCATGTTTTTGATCACTTACAGTGACAGGTGTGTCGACCCTTTGAACATTGCTCTCTTCGACGAGGATTTCCATGGCTTTCAGGCAAAGGGACTTGACTTCGGACTCTTTCAAAGGCTCGCACTTCTTCAGCCACTCAATTTGACTGTCTAGGTCTGACATCTTCCTCTTTGTTTGGTCTCCTCTATTACACACATAGAAGGATCGAAAAATAGAGAAGAAGAAGAAGAAAAGTCGGAACTAACCTGTTAGAGCTGCAAGTTGAAGCTATGTTGAAGAAGAAGAAGAAGAAGAAGAAGAAGAAGAAGAATCAAAGCTATGTTGAAGAAGAAGAATCAAACCAGAAAATGAATCAATTCATCAGAGCTCAAATCCCTCTCTCCGTACTAAAATTCGCCGCATTATATATATATATAGAGAGAGAGAGAAAGGGAGAGAGACTGAGGGCAAAGGTTGAGTATTGTTAAATTCTTGTACTATAGTGATTTTGAATGGTGGCCTAGGGTTTGTGTTTATGTGCATGTCAAAGAGAAAGAGAAATAGACAGAGAGCAAAGAGAGAAACAGAGAAGGGCAACGGTGAGAGAGAGGGAGAGGGAGAGCAAGCGAATATTTTTATTTGTTTATGTCTTTTACGTTTCAAATTTCCCTCCCAAATTTTTGGTGACCAAAAGACTATATTAGTCGCAGAAAAGGTACCTTCGCCGACAAATTTTTTAGTCGCCAAATCTCAATCAACGGCGACTAAAATATTAGTCACTAAAAGTACTAATTTGGCGACTAATTTTTTTTAGTTGCTGAAAAAAAGTTTTTGGCGACCAAATTTTTGGTCACCAAAAAATATGTGACCTTTTGCGACCAAATTTGTAGTTGGTCGGCAAAAGTATACCACTTTCTGCGACCAACTCATTTTTTGGTCGCCAAAATATAACCTTCTGCGACTAATAATATTTGGTTGCCAAAAATAATGATCATTCGCGACTAATTAATATTTGGTCGCCAAATGTCATTTTTTTGCGACCAAAATTTTTTTGGTTGGCAAAAGTGGTCGGCAAATGTGTAAATTCTTGTAGTGGTCTCAGCCAGAGTCATGGCAATACAGCTCTTGCCCTCTTTTAAGCCTTGGGCAACCTCGATCAATCAGACACTAGACCCTCCAGAGCCTGAGGCAAGCAAAAAGTAAGATAGCATGCACAAACAAAGGGCGTGTCGCCAAAAGCCCTGCCAATGATGGTCGTCGTGGTCACCGGCATCAGAAAACTGGAAAATCAAACTCGGAACATCCAGCATTCTGTCACAAATCAAAGAGCGAGCAACGTGCATCGTGAGCCCACACATTCGCCCTAAGGCTTGGGCGTGGCCGAAACGAAGCTGAGGCAAGACTTCTTCGTTGCGCTCAGATTCCATCAAAGCTTGGAAATCCTCGAAGGTAAGACATACCTCTTGCCCACCAAAGCTAAAGACATGTGTTATCAGGTTCCAAAACCTCGCCACAACATGAAGGAACGGAAAGTGCAGTGGGGTACGACTCAGAGTGAATAGTGCATTTATGTCGAAGCCCCGGAAATTCAGCTTTTCCAAGCCGTCCAAGTTGGTAATCTAAGCCATGAGATTCTAGGCAAAAAACTCTTCCATTTGGAGCAAATCAGTGTTGAATTGAGAAAAACTACAAAGCTGAGGCCTTTTGTAGAGGATAAAGTGGGTGGAGGACAGGTGTCAACATTCTGGTGGTGCTTGCCATTTTTGACCGGCTGGCCATGAATAGTGCCGACCGACCACCATGTTTGGTCGATCGGCTAGTTATAATGGCTGGTGGCCATTTATTGAGGCCGGTGACCTCTTTATTTGGCCGATGGCCTTCCCTCCTATCCTTAGAGTTGTCCATCTGCTGAAAATGCTGAAAACTTGTGACTAGTTCCACTTCCAGTGTTTTTAGTGATTGATTTTGCGGAGTCACGCCTATTGGCTTATCTAGTTATTGCATATTTGCTTATCGAGTTGTATTTCACTCTCTTTAAGTCTTTGCTTTGCTTATCGAGTTGTGCTCGCACTTGGTTAGCTTATCGAGTTTCTTTGTTTTGCTTATCGAGTTGTAAGTCGGTTCACTACCTAATTATTACGATGCAAGTGCTTAATTTTCAAACGAAGTTCAATTTCATTCACATTGTTATGTGATGCCACGCGATGCGATGCGCAGAAAGTATAAATGTAACACCTTTTTGAACAAAATAGCTGTTTCATTTCCATCATGTCTTTGCAAAAACACAGTCTTGAAAAAGTAAAACCTGCCTGAGGCAGTGCAATGTGCTTAAAACTAACAGTAGTAAAGGAAAGTAAAGCAAAAGGAGAGCAGGGCAGCAGAGTGTCTGGATTAAACCGGTGGCCTCCTCTTATGATCGATGCACCTCCCGCGCCTTTGTTTGGGTCAATTATACGGTTTGACACCTTTATTACTCGAGATAATGCAAGAAAGTGCGCTTTGGAATGTTAACTGGTCTTCGTGTTGACCTCGAGCCATGTCTTCTGTGTGTGATGCTCGGTGCGCACAAAGTGTATCCTTTCTCGTATCCTTTTATCTGGCGAGTTCCGCATGTCACTGTAATAAGCACGCTCGTTACGCGTCTTGCTTTCAACAAATGCCTCGTCTTGATTTGGTTGCACCTCAACAAATGCGAGTAGCATGCCTTCACTATACTTATGCTGAACATGTGTTCATACCTTGCTTGCTTCACACATTGCATGCGTTGTCGTATTATGCTTTACTTACATGTGTTCAAGTCCCTTTTTATACACATTGCATGCGTTGTCGCGTTATGCTTTACTTACATGTGTTCAAGTTCCTTTTATACACATTGCATGCGTTATCGCGTTATGCTTTCCTTACATGTGTTCAAGTCCCTTTTTATACACATTGAATGCGTTTTTGCGTGTGCTTTACTTACATGTGTTTATGCATCTCACAGGAGGTTACACATTACATGCGTTGTCACGTTATGCTTTACTTACATGTGTACAAGTTCCTTTTATACACATTGCATGCGTTGTCGCGCTATGCTTTACTTATATGTGTTCAAGTTCCTTCTATACACATTGCATGCGTTGTCGCGTTATGCTTTACTTACATGTGTTCAAGTTCCTTTTATACACATTGCATGCGTTGTCACGTTATGCATTATTTACATGTGTTCAAGTTCCTTTTATACACATTGCATGCGTTGTCACGTTATGCTTTACTTACATGTGTTCAAGTCCCTTTTTATACACATTGTATGCGGTGTCGTGTATGCTTTACTTACATGTGTCTACATCTTCACACATTGTGCATGTTGTCACGTGTTCTTCACTTACATGTGTTTATAGCATTGTTATGCCTACCCCAAATCGCATTGTTATGCGTCCTACTCGACTTGCATTACACGCAGCTTTAGATTGCATTGTTATGCATACTGCTACTGATATTGTACTTGTTAAGTTTTCTTTCTCTTAGAGGCACGATATTGTATGAACGGTTCATTTGAAGCTGGCGCGACCAGACGAACCGCACAGGTATTGTATTCTTCGCGTGAAACGTAGCGAGAATTACATAATTCTCTTACATCCTTTCTGCATTGTAATGTAGTTGGATTTATGTTAGATTGCTTAAAACTGTTGCATTTATTGTATGTATATGCTTCGTTATAGCTTTCTTTACATGATCATAAGTTATGATCGGCTTTGTGCATTATCATACATTTTGCCCCTGCCTTCAGGCGCATATCTTTGCTTGTAGCTTGTATGCTTTGTCTAAGTCTTCGGCCTTGTCAAAAATGGGTCGTCTTTGGGCTTTGACACTCACTTCCGTCATTGTTATGACTTTCGAGTTCTGTCAAAGAGGGGCAACTGTAGACACCCCATTTTTGACCGTCCTCAAGACTTGGATGTCACTGTTTGAACACTCGGTGATCATCCATGTTCGTGTTCATTTTGAGTTCCCGGAGGTCTCGGCTACGCGCCTCGCCTCAGGATCTCTCAACTCGGTTGTCTTGTGCTTGGTTGGACCAAACACTTGTTGGTTTTTGCTTTGGAAGGTAGAGAATGGCTTGTTAGCCATCCCCACGCCTCACCGGCCATGGATTGAGGCCATCGGCCGTGTCTTCTTGCCACCGGCCATTGGTGATGGCCGGTCGGCACTTTGTGTGGTCGGCCGACCATTTATTTGGCCGATGGACTCCTTTTCTGGCCGGTACCACCTTTTTGCCTTTTTAAGGCATTATGCATGCCAGCTGTGCTAGCTAGAGTGTACGGATTTGTCCTCCATACATGTATGGAGGAATTGCACCCTTTGCACCCTTTTGGTCCTAGCTTCCTCAAGAAGCTTGGACCCTTTGCTCAAGCTTCTTGAGGAAGCTTGACCCTTTGTCTTAGCTTCCTCAAGAAGCTTGGACCTTTGGGTTAGCATGCTTGAGAAGCTTGACCCCTTGACCCTTTTGTTTAGCTTCCCTTAGAAGCTTCAAGCCTTCATCTTGTTCTATATAAGAGGACCTTCCTCTTCCTTTGAGGAGGTTCAGCAAAACCCGAGATAATACATATATATCTGATATATAAACCACTTTCTCTCCATATCCCCCTCTCTCTCTTCATTTGTGTGTGTTTGAGTGTTCAAAAGTGTGTTTTGTTCTTAGTTTTGCACTAGGACACATAGTATTACACCATACTTCGGTTCTTGAGGTGTTAAGAGATTGTTCTTGGAGGTTTTGGGTTGGTTTTGATCAGAAAAAGGGGCTGGACTTGCTTTCTTCAAGTGTTCTTCAAGGGTGAGTATAGTTGCTTTATATTCCCCATTCTTGCACTAGTTTTTAACCTATCTTGCATACTGATTTAAGCTTTGTGTATAACTGAAAAAAGTCTTGTATTTGCATGCTTAAGATCTTTCGTTAAGGTCTCTTTTGTGTTTAGGGTCGACCTCCTCCTCTTAGGCCTTGTTTGGCCCATTTTTGTGCCTTCTTTGTTGAGCTTTGAATACTTTTGTGTATTGGCCTTCTCACCACTGAGGTCTTGAAGTCTTGCATAGGGGTGTCTCATTTGCTTGTGTTTTTGGCTTAATATGGTAGCATGCATGCCTAGCCTTGTTTGGCTTTATTTCAGAGGTTATTTGATGTTCATTTAGCATGTCTTACCTCTGTCCCATGTTGGTTTGTTGGCCCTTTGCATGCATAATACACTTGCTTTGAAATCCCATCATTTGGCCTAAAATGTACTATGTTATAGCATATCATTTTAGCATGATTTTGGTTTGGTTCTAAGAAGGTTTTTAGCACTGTTTTGCCATGCTTGAGGTCTGGTTTCGGTTATTTTGATCATGTTTGCCATGATTTGTATAGCCCTCTTGCATCCTAGCTTGTTAGCCTTGGATGTGTGGGTCACTAGCATGCTTCACTTAGCTTATTCTCATGATTTGGCATTATTGGAGACCATATTTCAGTCTATGTTCCATGCTTGCATACTTGCATTTTACATCCCTTTCATGCCTTGAAGTGTTGTTGTTTTAAGCTTCATGTTTGGGCCATTGGGTGTGCCTTTAGGCTTAGGCCATTTAGATGCCATCTAGGTGGGTTTGGGGGCTTATTTGGTATGTTGTAACTCTGTT